TCATGTGGGGACATGAGAGAAGCCTCCCACAAGGATGGTAATACATCAAAACATCTGGGTGTCCCCTGAGCAGCGTCCTTGCAGATGGCTAGTTCTCTCACACCAGAAGCAACTTGCAGTTTCTCAAGTTGCTCCTGACATGACAAAAAAAAAAGAGGACAAAAGTTATTAAATGAGGTAAAACACACTAGCTAGGACACTCTCCAGTAGTTTGCTTTTGCCTGAGACTTCTGGGAAAGGCAAGATTGTGCCCCATATAATACTCTCTCTGCTGCTGAGTTGCATGGGAACGGCTTTTGTACTTTTAACTCTGTTTGCAGTAATTGGAATTAGATGAGGGCGAAAGGGTAAAGTAAGAGGAACAGAAATTGGCATTTAAAAAGCAACTGAATTAATGAGATGACAGTATTAATAGGGAACATCTCTGCCAAATCGGGACATATGGGGAGCATGTACAGTGAGTCCTATGTTACATTCTCTTGCTCAGCTGCCACTGAATCCATTCACATAAAAATAAGTACAGTAGAGTCTCACTTATCCAACATAAACGGGCCAGCAGAATGTTGGATAAGCAAAAACGTTGGATAATAAGGAGGGCTTAAGGAAAAGCCTATTAAATGTCAAATTACGTTATGATTTTACAAATTAAGCAGCAAAACATGTTTTACAACAAATAGATCATTATCGTATTTACAATTTTAGCTTTGAGCAGGGCTTGTGATGCTGTTCAAATACCTTTGGTTGTTTCTACTAAATTAACACATTTACTCATCACATGTCACTACTATCTTCTTTCTTTTGAAGAGGAGCTCGGTTTTTCCCAGGCCAGCTGCTCCCTTCTGTTAAACTCTGTGAGAGTCAAAAGAGGAGGTTGTGGGCACTCCAGAGAGTATGCAGCTGGGCCGAAGTCCCAGGTATGGCGGCTGATGCAGCAGCATGAACTGCAAAGGGCACTATTAAAAAAAAACATTTTCTTACAGGGAAGTATTATCACCCAGAATTCCATTCGCTCCCTTGGAAATGTGTGCAAGGGGAGCTTCCAGGTGCTGAGACTTGAAAGTCTAAGAAATCAAACTTTATCTCTTAATATACATCTTTCATTACCCATACTGGCGGGTGTATTATTTATATTTTATTTATTTACTGCACTTTATTTATATTCCACCTTTCTTCCTGAGGGGATTCAAGATGGCTAACAATCCCACACTTTAGTCACAACTTAAAACAAAAATAAAAACCCAAATAATAGAATGTGGATTTAGGTTAAAAACAGTTTAAATAATTACACTTAAAATACATTTTCTCTTCTTATTGAATGATTTTATAGACATCTGACTTAAGATTTTGTGGTAAGACTTTCCCTTTTGTGAGATGCCTCCTTAAAAACCAACCATCCAGGAAAAAAATCATAATTCAAAATTATAATTCATTTATTCATCCACACAATTACCACCACAATAAAAAACGGCTATGCTGGTAAAGTTCACTGATCCTTTCAAAAAATGTGATGATGTAGCAGGCTTGTCAACGAGCCCAATTAAGATGGCTTTGTCTTATTCTTGTGGATTTAAGTCCCTGCATAAAATGACAATCGGCCCACTAAGGCTAGGATTTCCCTGCTTTGTGGTTGTGAGAAGTATCCTGTTGGTCATCCATTCAGTTGCAGGTTGGAGTCATAGCAGGGCAGGCTATATACAACAGCGCCACCTTGAGGTGACTGCAAGCACTTGCATGAAAAGCTTTGCATAATCTTGGGGAGAAAAGTGCAAAGGAAGGTTTACAGATAAACATGAAGGAAACAAAAAATAGTGATCACAGGTGATTTATATAACTTTAAAGTAGATAATAAAGACAATGAGATAGTTCAAGTTTTCCTATGCTATGGTTCAGTCATTAATCAAAATAGGGACTACAGACAAGGAACCAGAAGAAGACTTGGAAGGGAGGGTCTGGACAAAATCCTGAAGTGTAAAGAGATATAATTGAATACCAAAATCGGGATTGTCCATACCATTGTATTTCCAATGTCTATGTATGGTTGTGAAAACTGGACAGTGAGAAAAACTGACAGGAAGGGAGTCAACACATTTGAAATGTGATGGCGGAGGAGAGTTTTACAGATACCCTGCTGGGCCATAAAAATAAAAAAAAAGGAATTAAAAAGCCAAACTAGAAGCCCAGGTGGGTATATTGAGACTGTTGTACTTTGCAATATCATGAGAATATATATCTCATGAGAAATGACAATAATGTTTGGTAAGACATGAGGAAAAGAGGTGAACCATATTCCAGATGGATGGATCCAATCAAGGAAGCCACAGCTCCAAGTTTGCAAGATTGGAGCAGGGCTTTTTGATGCTGGAGTAACTGAGAGGTCTATAAGCCAAAATCAAACTTTATAGCAGTTGACAACATCTGAGTTAGGATTATCTTTAAAATGTGGCTTTTCATAAATTGGGCACTGCTATATGTAACTATCAAAAACATTTTAATATTCTTTCTGGACTAAAATGTACATGCTAACATTTCCCCTTTACTTTTCAACTTTACTGGAACTGTAAGAAAAAGTTAAATGTATTATTGTTTCTGAAACAAAGTGCTAAACACAGCTGCATAATTTGAATTGAACTTCTATCCACAAAATCTTGTGGTGCAAAACATTTTTCAAGAAGAAAAAGACTATGTATATTGTGCCTTCAAGTTGTTTGTCAGGCAGTCCCATTAATTCCCTAAGTCTTCTTAAGCAAGGGATGCAGAAAGAGATGGTTTTGCCAGTTCCTTCCTCTGAAATGTAGCCTACAGCAAGTTGGTAGCCATTGTCACGGCCATTCTGCACTGTCATATAAAATCCAGATCACCTGATTTGAACTGCATTATATGGCAGTGTAGACTCAAATAATCCAGTTCAAAGCAGATAATCTGGATTACCTGCTTTGATAATTTGTATTATATGGCAGCGTAGAAGGGCCCTTAGTCTTGCAGCCAAATACTATCCATGGCTGACCCTGCTTAGCTTCCAAGATCTGACAGGATCTCGTGTTTTAAAGAGTATGTAGGTAGAGAGAAGTAGTTTGTCTGTTTCCAACTAGAGAATGAAATTGCATCTAAGGCCCCTTCTACATTGCCATATAAAATGCAGATAACCCACATTATCTGCTTTGAACTGGGTTATATGAGTCTACACTGCCATGTCACCCTGTTCAAAGCAGGTAATCTGGATTTTATATGACAGAGAAGACGGGGCCTAAGGGCCCTTCCACACAGCCCTATATCCCTGAATATCAAGGAAGAAAATCCCAGAATATCTGCTTTGAACTGGGTTATCTGAGTCCACACTTTCCTGCCTTGATATTTTGGGATAAAGGGCTGTGTGGAAGGGCCCTCTACCACCTGTTTTGTTCCAGAAGCACAAGAAGGCCTGTGCTCTTTGTGTTCTGCCTCGTGTGTCAGATGAACTGCTTGAGAAATTGACTATATTTGATATTTCCCAACACACTGGCCCCTTCTATACTGCCATATAAAATCCAGATCATCTGCTTTGATAATCTGGATTAAATGGCAAGGTAGAAGGGACCTAATTCATGCACTAATTCACAACCCTAAGACACACATTCCTAAATTGTGGCTGTTATATTCACAAGTAGAAATTGATGGCTGCTTTACTAAGGAAATGTAATTACTAAGGCATGGCATCTATTATTTATTAATTTCATGCATTTCTACCCTGCCCTTCTTTTTATTTATTTATTTATTTATTTATTTGGGGTTCTTTTACCCCGCCCTTCTCACCCCGAAGGGGACTCAGGGCGGCTTACAGAAGCAAAGGCACAATTCGATGCCTGCAGCACAGAACAATCAAGACACAAAATTACATCACTTCACAAATTCACAAATTCTTCCCCCGAAGGGGAACTCAGGGCAGCCTCACACGATGCTATCAACATGTAAAGCAGTCCAAAATACATTAAAATCATTAAAACACATTATCCCAGGGGTCCTCAAACTTTTTAAACAGAGGGCCAGGACACAGTCTCTCAAACTGTTGGAGGGCCGGATTATAATTTGAAGAAGAAAAAAAACATGGATTCCTATGCACACTGCACTTATCTTATTTGTAGTGCAAAAATCACTTAAAACAATACAATAATTAAAATGAAGAACAATTTAACAAATATAAACTTATTAGTATTTCAATGGGAAGTGTGGGCCTGCTTTTGGCTGATGAGATAGGATTGTTGTTGTTGTTGTGTGCTTTCAAGTCGTTTCAGACTTAGGTTGACCCTGAGCGAGGGCCGGGTAAATGACCTTGGAGGGCCGCATCCGGCCCCTGGGCCTTAGTTTGAGGACCTCTGCGTTATACAATTCATTAAACAGTAAATTAAACAAGCCAGTTAAAACCAAATTCAAGTCTGGGCAGATTCAATGTCACAGATATGCCACATTGTACCTGTGGAATGATTTAGGGCCCTTCCACACAGCCACATAACCCAGAGTATCATGGTAGATAATCCACAGTATCTGCTTTGAACTGGGTTAGCTGAGTTCACACTGCCATATAATCCGGTTCAATGTGGATTTTATACAGCTGTGTGGAACGGGCCTTAGTGGAAACATATTGTGGGAAGGGAGCCCTATCAACTAATAACAGCCCACCAGAGAATCCCATGCTGTCCATTAGAAAGATTTTAAAAGGCTGCTGAAAGGGGAGAAGATGGTGTGCTTGCTTTGGGAATGCTGCCTGACAAGGAATCAGATGGGGTGATTGACCAATGGGGAAGCGGAGAGCTGCGCGCGGCCACGCTTTGTCCAACCCCTGGCTGCTCCGGAAGAAAACAGACGATGGGGGTGATAAGACTATAGAGTGGCAGAGCACGAAGGAACGTCACCAGCGGCGGCGTAGCCTATGGTTCTGTTTTTCAAAAACTCCCTCCCTCCCCCCTCCCACACGCCCTCCTCCGCATCCAATGGGAGCCCGGTGGGCGGGGCCAGCCTCGGATGCCTATATAAGGCGCGACTCCGGCGCCTGTTCTTTCTTTCGCTTCGTCGCGTGAGGAGGTGGGTAGTAAGATCGCTCTGCCGCCATTTTGTGGGCCAGGTTCGCCTCGCCTATTTTTGCTTCCTCCCCTATATGAATGTTTTCTTTATGTGTGTGTGTGTGTTGTTACTCCCTATTAGTACTCTTTTTAAAAAAAATAATAATAATAACCTAGGCTCTTTGTCAGGCTGCAGATCGGGGTTGGGCCTCCTTCTTGATTGTCCCGCCCAAAGCTCACTCCTCCCCATGACCGCATTAAAGTAGGCCTCGGTATCCGCAGGAATTTGGCTATAGAGACTGGATGCTCAAACCCCAGATATGTGGTAAATTGGCGTCTCTAAAATTACAGGATCGGAGTTTGCTCTAAAATATTTCGGGAGTTAAATCCATGGTAGATACGGAAAGCTGGCAGCATATTGTGCCTTTAGAGCAGGCCTGGGCCAACTTGGGCCCTCCCTCCAGGTGTTTTGGACTTCCAACTCCCACAATTCCTATCAGCCTCGGGCCCTTTTCTTTTCCCTCTCTGCCGTATAAGCGGAAAAGGAAGGGCCTGAGGCGGTTGAGAATTGGGGGAGTTGAAGTACAAAACACTTGGAGGGAGGGCCCAAGTTGGCCCAGGCCTGCTTTAGGGTCAAATAGCAGCCAGAGGGAAGCTCTCTTATAGGCAACAAAGGCATTGGCAGGAAATGGCGTCCCTTGTCCCAGTAAAGTCCCTGCCTTTTCACCCCATCCCTCTGCTTTATTAACATCCAGCCTGATCAGGATGGTAAGAGGGCCTCATTAATTGGAGCATCCCAATTATTACAGATTATGAGTGGATCCGATTTAGGTCCCTAACGGATTAATGCAGTAATGTTTGCTAGCATGGGTGCAATCATGATTATTGGACCTTCTATGCCAGGGGTCCTCAAACTAAGGCCCGGGGCCAGATATGACCCTCCAAGGTCATTTACCCAGCCCTTGCTCAGGGTCAACCTAAGTCTGAAACGACTTGAAAGCAAACAACAGCAACAACGACAATCCTAGCTCATCAGCCAAAAGCAGGCCCACACTTCCCACTGAAATTCTAATAAGTTTATATTTTTTAACATTGTCCTTCATTGTAATTGTATTGTTTTAAGTGGGATTTTTTTGCCCTACAGATAAGATATGTGAAGTGTGCATAGGAATTCATGTTTTTTTTAAGATTATAATCTGGCCCTCCAACCGTTTGAGGGACTGTGACCTGGCCCCCTGTTTAAAAAGTTTGAGAACCACTGTTCTATGCTTTGATTTACCTCTGGCTGTATCTGCATACACGGCCATAAAATGTACAGTAGAGTCTCGCTTCTCCAACATAAAACGGGCCGGCAGAAAGTTGGATAAGTGAAAATGTTGGATAATAAGGAGGGATTAAGGCAGTAGTTCTCAAGTTGTGGGGTCCCCAGGTGTTCTGGCCTACAACTCCAAGAAATCCTAGCCAGTTTCCCAGCTGTTAGGATTTCTGGGAGATGAAGGCCAAAACATCTGTGGACCCACAGGTTGAGAACCACTGGATTAAGAGAAAGCCTATTAAATGTCAAATTACTTTATGATTTTACAAATTAAGCACCAAAACATCACCTTTTACAACAAATCTATAGAAAAAGCAGTTTAATACACAGTAACATTATAGAGTGCACCTTGTATTTAATAGATAGCATTTTCCATGAAATGGAGCAGAATGGCCTGATGGGAAGGATTCTTCTTGAGATCCCATGCTAGAGTACAGTATAGTGGGGTCATTTGTGTTGCCCTTTTTTGGAAATGCCTTGCTTAGAAATTTCATGGAAGGGGGTGAGGCTTGAGTTTTGGACTTGATGGTTCATGGTTTAGTTTAAATCACCTATGTTTAGTACTGTTTGCGTCATTGTATGCTGTGTTGGTTCTGAGTGTAGCATTCATTTCCTTGAAATTAAATGCCATAAGTATCAGGGGCTTTCCTAAGTCTGTACAAAACAGCGTGCTCAATTCTATCGAACTGAATTTTATTTGTTTACCTTATTTATATCCTGACTTTCTCTACCCTGAAGGGGGCTCAAGGCGGCTTACATGTAGGCAATTATTCAATGTTTTAGAACACATACAATTCCAATAAACATTAAAATTAAATTAATACATATTAAATATTTAATATAGTACTTAAAATGAGTATTCAAGTATGGTTAAATTGTACCTTTTTATTTTTTTATTTTTTTAAAAATTGTACTTTTTTGAATGAGATACAAATAAAGCGAAGTAATGTGTTAGAATTACATTACTTTTTTAAAAAATCTCTTTAATTTTGTTTTGCAGGAGCTATGGGACTAAACATTACGCAAGTACTGCTGCAGTGCAAAATGAACTCTGGTAAGTATCAGATGCATTACTTGAAAATCTTTCTCGTTTTCATATTCAGAAGTATTGTGTAAATCAAAAACAGTTTGATGACTTCTTGGCAGGTTTTTGTTAGAACAGCATCACTTGACCTGGTGCCCAGAAGCAACTTTGTACATGGGCAGAAAGTGCTAGTCAATAAGAACTGGACACAGGGAGGGCACAAGACACATGATGTAGGCTATGATTTATTATTATTATTATTATATTTATTTATATCCCGCTTTTTCTCTTCTGAGCGGCTTACCATAACAGCATACACTTTAAAATATTCAAATATGCAAAACAGGATTAAATATAAACATTATTTTAAAATTCCCAGTTAAAAACTATTAAAACATGTTCAAAGTTTAAAAAAAGACTACAGCACCCCCTGAATTGATCTTTAAAATCTTCATCTTTAAAACCTATCTGAATAAGAAAGTTTTAGCCTGCCACCAGAAGGGACAACAGGAAAGGGGGCCCTTCTGGCTACCCTGGCAAGAAGGGAGTTCTAGAATCAAGGGACAGCCGCCCAAAAGGAAGGCCCGCTCGTTCCCTTCAACTAAACTTGCGATTGAGGGGAGACCGAGAGAAGGGCCTCTTCTGAAGATCTTGGGGCCAGGGCAGGTTCGCACAAGGGAATGTGGTCAGCCAAATAGCCTGGGCCTGAATCACCTCAGTCCCTTTGACAATTTGAGCTTGACAATAATTGAATGACATCCCAAAAAGTGTAGAATCATGCAGTGAAATTATAAAAGCAATGTAGTGATTCCCAGGATCCCCCATACTTGGTGGCACCACTGCAGCTCTAGCTCTTTTTTCTAAATAAAACCCTGTGATCAAGAAACGACTGGTTGTTGCCTGCCATGTTCTCTGATTTGCACCCTTAAGAGGTTGGGATGACACAGTCACAGCGTTGTTCCATATTTATGGTGGAAGCTTGAGAATGGTCTAATGCAGTGACACTTCAGTCTTAAAAATATGCTCCTCACATTTCATGTTCCTGACAACTGTACTTGTTCATAGCATCTTGAATGCCCCATTTTGTGAATTCTTGTGCCCAGTGTTTGATTTTAAACATTTCTTGCATAGTATATACAATTCCACTAACGGCACAACTCTTAGCTGGATACTTCTGTGAAGAACCTAATTGCCTTATTCTAGAACACAAGCTGCTTCTTTTAGCTTTGTTGACATTATTTTCTGAACTTCTAAATTTTATTTTCAGGTCATAAAACATCAATGTATTTAGAAGACTATTTGATGGAGAAGGATGGATCCTGAGTACAAAAGGTATTCAGTCTAAAAAGGGTGCAATGGAACCCAAAGAATGCTTCCTCTTGTATGATACTCGATACAATTAGAAAGATAGTTCCATTAATGCTCTGCTTGCCAAAGGCATTGTATTGTCACTTGATTAGCTCAAAATCAGTCTTCCTAAAACAGTATTGTCTTAGATGGATATGTTTTTAGATCTAAGCAGAGTGGATTGTATTACCACTGAAAGTGGATACCAATGTTGACTTTATTTTGTATGCAGTACTCAACATATTTAGACCTGAATAGCTGTTCTTAGGTTTTTGCCTTTAAAGCCATAGCAAGCTGTCCTCCTGAGGTCCTAGTGAGGCATCAGCATTTTAAAGGAAAGGCTGGATTTCTGGAAGAGCCAGTGTTACTGATTAGAAAGAGTGGCTATGCACAGAAATAAATTCAAAATTACTGGTATGCTGAGCATTGGACATGGCAAGAAAGTGTTGATTTTGAGTTGCCTTGGTAAAACACTGTTCTTAATTATCTAGAATGGGATGGATTATTTTCCAGCTGTATCTGTTCTGCAGGTGCATTTAGCAACACCTCTTGCACCAAAAGAAATACTGTTGGTTTGCTGCTGACAAACCTAATTAGGAGAAATGCGAACTATTACATATTTTGTTTTTTCTTTCTTTTCAGACTTGACAAAGATGTATTGGGATAAAGGTAAGTGTATTAAATGCTTTTATTCAGTAAATCATGAGCACTGATATAATCATTGATGAGACTATCCCGAACCTGATTCCTTTGATGAAAAAACTGCCAATATGGATCCGGCTTCTGAGGTTATATCATTAGTCAATAGATTTGCTATTTAGTTTAAAGAAAACATTTCTAGTAACTTCTATTGATGCATATACTATTTTCTTGGCACTTTGTGTCTAGATTGGCAGCTGGAATTCAGGCAACAAGAGGGAAGAATTTAATTCAAGACCTTCAGTTTTGGATTGCAAATTACATCAAGTAAGTGTAATATCATTTATTAGAATGTGTGTCACATTTCTTGAGAAACCTAGTTTATGTGACAAGCTGTTAGTTTTATGGTAATTAACATTGCAGTCCTGACAATTCTTACCAATAAGAAATACATTAAATATAGTGGAATATTTAAATAAGCATGCACTTTGGAGATGTTGGAAATCATACTTCAGCTTAGACTGGAGTTGCAGAACAGGCTGCTCTGCATGGCTTCCTATCCTTGAAGGCACGCAGCAATCACTGATTGTGCCTTAGCTATATTGATATTTCCAAAAGCAGGAAAATTTGTGGTGATGCTGGTTCAACTGAGCATAAACCTAGTAATTCCCATTGGTTTTTTTTAAACAGTGATGTGAGAGTTCTTTAAGTGAAGACTGGATCACCTTCATGGGAAGAGGAAAGAGGTAAGGCATTTGAATTGGAAAGTGCAGTATAAAGAAACTAATGATCAGTGGTTCTCAGCAGGTCTATGGGATCACATTCTGGCTAAATTAAATGTAGTTGAAAGCCTTCCTTCAGGTAATAACACTTACAGAAAATTGAAGTGACTAAAATGCATCCCATTGAAATGGCCAGTATGCAGGCAGCATGTTACATATCTTGCTTCCATTTACCAAATAAATGGTCACTGAAAATAAAGCACTCCACCAAGTAAAAGTGCACACGTCACACCAACTATTTCAATAAAATACCACATTTTCTTTTAAAACGCAAGCTGTAGTTGAGATTGTTTTTGGTTCTGGTAAGAGTGGTTACCTGTGGCAGATGGGGAAGAATTTACCCTTCATAGCTGCTAAAGTAGCCTGCCCTGGCCTATTGGGAAAAGACAGGTGCAGAAGTACGTCTGTTAGTAGAAATTTAGAAGTGGGATCATCTGTTACTTTTTAGAACACAGTACATTGTCTAACTTTAAATTCCTTTATTTTACATTTTTAGCTCTAAGAAGTCAAATGAAGACATGGTTTGAAGTGTTCCCCCAAAGAAAATCATACCCACATGTGACAAAATCAGCCTTAAGGATCTGAGCACACTAGTTTGGGAGCTGGCACTACAATTATGGAAAAGCTTCATTGGAATTAAAGTTTATGTGTGATGATGGATCTTAAATGTTTGAATGTAGCATTGAATTCTAATAAAATACTGAAACTTTATCCTTGACTGGTTTAGAACTTCCTCTTAATTGTGATGTTCTGGTTTTGAAAAGTGAAGGAAATGCTTTTTGATGGAAGATTCTTGGAAACATTCATACAAAATGAATCTAGTTTTGCTTTATTCTTTATAGCATTGTGGTGCCAAATTGCTATAAATATAAAGTATCTGTTCAACTGTAGGCACTATGAATCTTGTCCTCAGGAGGTGATATTCCTGTAAACATCTGACAGCACAATTATGTGCTAGAGAGGAAAGGAGCCATACAATCTAGCCTTCTGTGTGGCTACTTTAGTGCCACCATTTATTTTTGAAGAGAAGCACAGTAGTTACATGCTTTTTGTGCAAGTGGTTCCAAGTTCAATCTGACGTCTTAAAGATAGGATTTATCAAAACACCTGTATGCTGTCAATTAGGTAATATTGGGTTAACTGGTTATTCCTAAGACTACTTCAGTGGGCATGTGATAAACCCCTCAAACTGATGAAGCTTAGGTATTTATGTAGGTTAGGTGTTGAAATCCGAATAGGTACAAGGAGATATTTTTAGGACAGGTCACATATGTAAAGTCTGGGTGAGTAAAACACAATGACATTGAGAAAGTCCTAGTAAGCCTAGAATTTATGATAATTTTGTATTAAAATTGGCTTATCCCTATCACAGTAACGACAGATTAGTTTAAAATTGCATTTTCGAATATTAGAACATTATTTGAAGCCAAAGATCTCAACACTTGTCCAATCAGAATCACCCCAAGAATAAACTGTTCTATCGTTCAGTTAGTTGCAAATAAACCAAAACTGGTGGAATGAGAACTTTCCAGGATCTGTAGGCTGCTACCCTCTTTGTAATTATTAGTAAAATTGGCAAGAATGGCATCCATTTCAAGCCAGCTGGAAGAAACCAGTGCTTTTTTAAAAGATAATGCTGTACATCTGAAGTTTGGTAAAAATGCGAATCCCAACCAATTCTGGGTAACGGGGGCCTCTGTAGTATTTGACTAAACAGATTTCAAATAGAAGGACCTCAAACCACCAAGAATGGTGCTGGCAGTGTAATGTTTAGGGTCTGCTTTAGTCATTCAGGACTTGGAGCAATTGTATCATTCAGACACGGAAAACTGGTTGGCAAAAGTGGTGGCCTGTCGTAGATAGCTGGTTCACAGCAAATTTCTTTGAAAGAAAATTGAATGAATGGGCACAGAGGTGAGCTTCTCAAGGTGCGGTGTGGTGGGTTGCAAAGACTTCATTCAGAGAAGATTGCCTTTTCCTTTGACGTTGAGAGTACAACTTCCCCAATTTATTTACATGGCTGAGGGATATGGTCTCAGTCCAGTGCTCGAACACTACACACTGTCCTCTCATATCAGATAACTTAAAAAGGGGCACTGTTTCTGAAGGAGAATATTAGATCACTTGAGAACTTGATCTGAAGTGGGCTGTACAGAACAATAAGGATCCTAAACATTCAAGCAGATGTGCAAGATGTTAATGAAGGGGACCCCAACCAAATTTTGGTTTTATCAACGTTCAGTGAGAAGCAGAGCTTCATGAATGCTTCTGCAAAGGTGTTTACAGTGGCTTGTAGTTCTGAATGCACACAGACCATGTTATCACCAGCATATTTGAGTTCTATTAACACATGACCTTGGTTTTTTGCTTTCAGTCTGCTGAGGTTAAATAGCTTGCCATCCGTCTGACATGATTACTACTCTGGTGGGAAGCTTCCCATCAACAAAGGTTAAGTATCATAGCAACGAAGATGGAAAATCAGTTTGGGGCAGTAACACCTGATTCTGCCTCAAATGGGTCCCTCTGGGAACCACTGCTGTCCTAGGCTGTTGTCATCATAGAGGAGCCGCACGATGGTCACAAATTTGTTAGGGCATCCAATTTTTTGGAGGATTTGTTTACTGAGATGATCTATTGTTCCTCATCTCGACATTTACTCCATTCAGTCAAGAGTAGCTTGGCAGCTGTCACTCAGGGGACTTTTTCTGCAGCCACTCCTAAAGTGTGCAGCAACCCATGACAAGATCTGACAGCTAAATATGCTCTCTGAATTTGCAACAGCATTAAAGACTGGTTCTTCTGGCAGGAGGTCTATCCATCTGATTTTCAAATTCTAACTCTCAATATGTATTGGTCTTTAACCTGATATTACATGCTTTTAACTAATGTTACGGGTAGCATTTTATCCTGTTGCCTTACTTCATGTGTAAGAAACAATGAGGATAATGATGTCACAACCCAAAGAGGATCACAACTTTTTCTCACCGTTGTAGACACCTTTTGAACAAAAATAGATTATTAAGAGTTCCAAAAGGCCTTCTTCAAATTTGGGGAATGAACACTGAAATGGCAAATGAGATTCAATGCAAACAAGTATAAAATGGCATCATCTTTTCATATATACGAAAGGGATCTGAGCCCTTGACCGGTGATCTTGTTACGAGTGCTTGATACAAATCGTGATCCAATGTGTTGCAGATACTTGTAAAAATAAATAGAAGCTCTCCACCATCTTGTGCCGGCAAAGGTTGGCAGTTTGAATCTGGGGAGTAGGGTGAGCTCATGTGTCAGCTCCAGCTTCCCATGCAGGAACATAGGACAGTAAAGCATCCAGGAATCTCCTGGGCAACATCCTTGCAGACAGCCAACTCCCTCACACCAGAAGCTACTTTCAGTTTCTCAAGTCACTCTTAACACGGGAAAAAATGAACAGATCTATTAGGACTTTCCTTATGCTCCAAATCTTTAACTAGAGAATGAGTATGTCATGGCCAGTGTTAAGATTCTTTTTGAAACCTTTAACATTTTAATACTTCAGGATGCTGTGTAACCACTCCCAGCAACAGCCAAAGGTTTCTTCAGCTCAAACGATACATCAAGCTAAGCCAAATGCAAACCTCAAAGCTTGCAAAACTAGTGCCTTGTTATATGCTGAAGCTGTTAATACACCCAATTAACTTGTGTCAGCTGTAACAGAAAAGGTTCTGATCCTTAATGTTACTTAGAAAAAGCCTGTTGTAAACCTCTAGTAGCAACATGCCCCTTCACTTTTTCTAAGTGACATTATTTACAACTTTATTTTAACTCTACTAGGCCTAACTTTCTGGTCACATCACAATGTTTTGCTGGTGTTAGTGGGAAAGACCAACTGCAGCTTCTTTCATTTGCATCCAAAACCCTACGTTGCTTCCCTTCATAATATCTGGAACGTTATTCATAATTTAACCACAAGTAGGAGTTTTAGAGTATTTCGTATCAGAATCTTTCTGGGTCATTTAGTCACCCTGAAGTGATTTGGCGTCCTTTTTTTGAAGGTAAATCCAAAGAAGTGAAGAGAGTAGATGGCAATGCTCTTCTTTCTTCCTTCGACTTGCAGTTTGCCAGAGTCCAGATTCCTAACTATAGTAGGCTTGTACTAGGATCAAGGAAGCAGAGCATCACATAAATGAATTTTGCGTATAGACTTGGGCCCCATCTCCAAAGTACTTCATTATGTACATGTATGCAGGTACAGATATTTTATATTGTGTTAATTTGCTTTATTTATTTTATTTTGCTACTGTATGTATTTTATTCTGATGTCAATTTTTGTTGTTTGCATTCTGTATTTTTATTTTGCTGTATTGTATGTTTGGGTTTCATGTTAGCTGCCCCGAGTCCCCTTTGGGGAGATGATGGCAGGGTACAAATAAAGTTTATTATTATTTGAAACACAACACAACTAAATGAGCCCACAGCAGACAAGATCACTCTGCTAGCTGTTATATTGGATCACATGTCAGACACTCCCCAAGCATCTAGGACGGTGTGATGTATCGGCGAATAATGCGTGCAGACCCCAGTAAGGTGGCCTTTTGCACCTGGCAGATGGTAATTTTGTCAGCGCTGATTGTGTTTAAGTGCAGGCCAAGGTCTTTAGGTACTGCAACCAGTGTGAGGATCACCACTGGGACCACCTTGACTGGCTTGTGCCAGAGTCTTTGCAGTTTGATCTTTAAATCCTTATGTCATATCAGCTTTTCCAGTTGTTTCTCTTAAATCCTGCTGTCACCTGGGATTGCAACATCAACAGCCCATACTTATTATTATTATATTCCAAAAGCCCCAAAGGGGTTCTGCTCCCAAGCATTTCGGAGAATGGCTACTTATTATTATTGAGAAGTAAAGAACGGTTGAAGTAGCACACTTTCAAATCCCCAGAACATAAACCCACCCCAAAACTTAAGTGTCAGACTTGTGTAAGGACCTGACTGTTCCCCAGGGTGCAGCAACACTGTTGGCAGTTCAAGTGCTGTCACACTGCATTCATGCTGCAATGTAGATGCGCCCTCCGATTTCCAAAGGCCGGGGCAGGGTGGAGTCAGGCGAAAAAGAAGGCCTTCTCTCAGCAAGAACGTGGAATTCCTCCTCTTCCTGAAAAAGTACAGCGTGGACGAATGGGCCTTGTCCGCGCGTGCGCACCACAGACGCCTGGCACTAAAACTCACCCGCCAGCGAGGCCGGGCAGTAACCCTTCTGGATTGGTCTTTTCCGCGCATGCGCACCCACACTTGTGCCTCTTGACGGCTTGCTGGGACTAATACCGTGCGCCACCGAGGCGGGGAGATAGCCCTCCTGGATTGGCTTTGCAAGCCTTGTCAGCGCATGCGCATCACTCGTTGCTGCCTGCCTGCTGGAACTAAAACTCAGCCGCCAGCAATGTGGGGCAGTAAGCCTTGCGAATTTCCGCGCATGCGCACTCTCAACCACGCCGGAGTAAATCTTACCCGACAGCGATGTGATAACCCTTTGCGGATTGGTCCTGCTGGCGGCGCATGCGCGGAGGGGGCGATAACCCTTGTGGCTCTGCTCAGGAGACCCCGGCGTTGGGGCGACGCCAGCGCGCGTGCACGGCCCCGCCCCCTCCTCCTCCCCTCCCTCCCTCCCTTCAGCCGAGTGGAAGGAAGGGAGGGGGGAAGAGCTGGGGTTGGTTGGTGCCAGCAGCGGCGTGA